AAGGATGAGCAAGCAACATCATCATCAACGGAGCATCACCAAGCACTGGTCTCCGTACCATGTCGGTCTCGGACATCATCTACAGGTTAAGACTGGACTATGCCTTAATCCCTATCCCCACATTTCCTATGGCCAATGTTTCTGTCACTGTATTCCAATTTTCTTCCAGACTCAACCTCGAAATGATTCCCTTTCCGCGTGGCCTGACTAAGACCCCACCTATCTGAAAGTGGGAACAAAGGAGTGTGCACAGCTAGGGCAAGCGGGCGAGCAGGATAGTGACTTACGAGACCTCGTTGTAATACTTGTTCGAGCTGTATGAAACAAGCCAGAATACTGTGACTATAAGTCTCAAGCAATGTTATTTCTACACAACCTAGTACTGACAACGATTCCCGACGCTTTGTGAACAGCTATGTTCTGCAGGATACCGAAATACACCGAGTCGGATGAAACGCGAACTCGACTAGCCATTGATTTTCCATAATTGAGCTGTGTGAGTTAGTCGCGAAAATATATAGCAAATGCGCACTTCACATGCGAAAACTTCTAGAGTGGTAGTCATAATCTGTGTTGTGACTCGTCAACCTTTGTTTCGGCATGGTCTTTCGATTGCAAAAAAAAGGGTTGAAGAGCTATTGCCACCTTTATCCCTTATATACAACCTGCCGCACTACTACACAGAATAATCACATCAGAATGGTTTGCGAATGCAATCGACGCACATAAAAATGTCAGTATGGAGGATTTTTGGGGTCACAGAACCGATGAGGGCATCCGGTGTTTGAGGACTACTATGATTTCCATTCATTTAGATATTTGTGGAATCAGTGCAAGATTTTTTGATCCCTGTTTGTAAATCTGCTATGTTTTCGAAAGACAGAAGACTATGAAGCTTCATAAAGACTTAGCTTTGCACAGATATAACAGCAGAAGGCTACAACCCTTTGTCTATCTAGCAGGGAAGCATGTTAGTTTCAACACTACCTTCCTGTGACTTGTGAGGCACAGGAAGGAGTCGAGGATCACAGTGTGAGAAAGTTACGATCACATGGTCGGACTACGATTTATACGGTTGAACGTTGAACGTTGAACCCTTGACTTTAAGCTCTTAACGATGAGTACACAACCTGTACAGATCGTCGCTCGTATACGACCTCCGCTACTCAACGAGCAAACTGATGATGCTATCTCCGTTATTCCGATTCCCCCAGGCCATGCCTTGACCGCTGCTCGCCCCATTCCGTTTACGTCCTGGGTTTCGATATCCTCTACTGGAATGAAAACTGGCACAACTCAGGTTCAGAACTCACAGACAGCCTTTCATACGGCTTTCGGGCCCGAAACCACCCAATTACAACTCTTCGACACGGCTGTAGCACCGCATCTACTGCCTTTGTTGAAAGGACACACTTTAACGATCCTCGCTTACGGACCGACGTCGTCTGGTAAGACACATACAATGGAAGGATCGTCTACCGAACCAGGTCTCATTCCGCGGTCGGTCAGGAACCTGTTCGATATGAGCGAGGAGCTGAAGGAGAGTGGGAGTGTCATGAGTTTCGAGGTTCATATGAGTTATTTGGAACTGTACAAAGATGATGCGTTTGACTTGCTCGTATCGCAAAGCACGCACGAGAAACTGCCAATTAGGACGAATGCAAAGGGCGAGACGTTTGTTGTGGGGCTAACGAGGGTTCAGATCAGGTCATTTGAAGATTGGAAAAATGTATTTCGGTAGGCCTGATCCTGATTTCGTTTGTGATTCTTCTCCTTACCTACGTTTTCTTCAAGTGCGGCTTCCCAAAATCGTACGACCGGTGCTACGCTCTTGAATCGCGCCTCATCTCGCTCACACGCAATGCTGTCGATTGAACTCGAAGTCATCACTGCACCGACACCCGAAACTCGCGAAATGAGTATGCACATTTGTTCTTCATCTAATTATTACACTCTCAAATATTATTCTTCAGCGTACAATGGCAAGATCAACTTGGTTGACTTGGCTGGATCCGAGAATAACAAGGTACACGGAATATCACGATTCTCACTGCGCTATGTACTTATTCTTGATCCTTAGCATACTGGAAACTCGCTCGCTAATCCCACTCGTCTCGCAGAATCGGCTGCAATTAACAAATCTCTTTCAACACTTGGGCAAGTCGTGCATGCTTTAAACACTGGTGCTGTACGTTCACTTCTAGACATCTTTGTTGATCCTCTTTTCGCTGTCTCCTTCCCTCGTTCTGCTCTTTACTCACTGAATCTTTCCATCTCATATTTAGTCCCGGATACCCTATCGTGATTCTAACCTCACTCGGCTCCTTTCCGCTTCACTGGGAGGGAAAGCTTTGGGCAAGACGATATTGTTGTGTAATCTAGCACCGGGCGTCAAGTTCCGCTCGGACGTGCTGAATACGCTCAAGTGAGTACGAATCATTTGAAGGGTTGATAATTGCGATCTATCTTCCGATCACCTCCGTGAATCTTTTCCCCAATCAGAGTACTTACTAACCGTTGCCCTCTCCTGCTAAATCCAGCTTTGCCTCACGAACGAAAAACATTGAAACCAAGACAGTCGTGAACGAACGCGAAAAACCTGCTCCAGTCGAAGTCATAAAAGAGAGGGAAACCATTCCACCAGTAGGACCTCTGACGAGACGAACGTCAATACAAAGTCGACGTGTATCTGCATCACATATCCCAGCTCCTGGGTCAAGAATACCCTCATATGGAGCTGGCAGCCACTCAAGGTTGAGTGGCTTTGGGCTTGGGCCTACTGGTACTGGCGCTGGGTTAGGAAAGGCTACTACTATAGATGATGCGGACTTGAACGAGAGGATAAATAAGGCGGTCGAGACCGAAGTGAAACGAAGGTTAGAAGAGCAGGAGGCACAGAGGAGAATGGAGGAAGAGGAGAGGGAGAAGAAGCTCCAAGAAGCTAGGCAGCTGGAGATGGAATCACAACAGCACATCCTTGTATCAACAGCTCACAACCAGGAGACCCAACCAGCTAGTCTGAACATGGATCTAGGTGCAAACGAAGGTATCATAGAAGTTGAAACGGAGGAAGTAGAGGTCGAGGCTGAATCGCGGGCCGTCGAAGGCATGGATGTCGACCAACGACATCTTGAAGTCGGCCATGGCGTGTTGGGTTCTTCGCCGATGAAAGTAGACCCTGTCGAATACGAGGCTTATGGTCGTCCGATACCCAAAGGCGAGCGCGAAGACGATGACAAGGAGAGATCAAAGATGGGGGAAATAGAAAAGAAGTACAGAGAGCATATCGCTCAACTGGAAGCTCAGTTGGCCGCTGCCTCATCGTCGGCTTCCACTTATACCGCTGCAGCCAGTACCAATGCTGCTGACGGCTCTGCCTCGATGTTCTCCACCTCTGTTTCTTCTTCATTGTCAGTATCAGCCTCAGGATCAGGGTCGGTAGCCGAGTCAACGTCGATATCGTCTTCTGTTTCTGGGACTTCCCCTAACATTCTTGGGACCTCTCTTACCGCGGCTGCCGAGGGTTTATTAAACTCTTCAGAAGATACAAAGTCAACCGAGCACATGTCTGTCACCGAGAGGAAGAAAATGGGGAAGATATATGTAGACCTGGCCAGAGGCTATACTGCCAAGTGGGTTAAATGCTTTTGACTTCGTCATTTTACTTCTTTTCCTACATTCATTCTGTTGGCATGGGCGTGGTGACTTATATTTGTTTGTTATAGGCACGACCTCGCGACAGCGCTTTCGCTCTATCGACATGCGGCGCTGTTTGTTCCCGATAATACGAAGTTAAGGGAACGGTATGTCGTTATGTCCTGATCATTACTTCCCGTCCTCAAAATCTCGTGTTTCTCGCCTTCACACTTCCAGAATCATCGACGTTGAATGGGCAGTCAAGAATGGAAAATCCTACGTCCCGACGCCGAAAAGACAACATCCTCGAGAAGAAGAAGAGAAGCCCATGTCAAAATCATCCAAATTATCCAAATCTCACCGGTCATCTCATTCGGCTTCTTATTCATCAAGAAATATCGATGACAAGAGCAAAGAAAATTCGAATTCGAACCTAGAGAGTCCCCGAAAACTAAGTTCGTCAGATTCAGAGAGTCAGCGAGCCTCTTCGTCTCTCAAAGGCTCGAAACGGAAACGCAGCCTCAGCAGAGAGCCTGTATCTGATTTGGATTATGTCTTTGTGAATCCTTCGATCTCTTCAAAGACGGGACAAGGACACGAACACGGATTTGGTAAAGATCTCGGGAACATTGACGAAGAAGTCGAAGCTGAAACCGATTCTGCACACCCGGATGTAGATGAATTCGGGGTATCAAAAGTGTTGAAAGGGGTTCTTCGTCGTTCGCCAAGGAAGAAGCAAGTCGAACAACAACCGGGTTCAGCGTCTACACTGACGATGATGAGAAGTCCTACATCTGTTGCGGATAAACGCAAGATTCTGGGTATGAGCTTGAGCGGTGTGGACTCAATTGGGTACACGTATCGTACGCCGTCGGGAGGGATAGGGAGGAATGCGAATGAGAGTGTGAGGAAGACGAGGAAGGTATCGGACTTGATGTATGGTGGGCTTGAGGGGCTTGGATTCTCGGTACGTGAACACGGAGAAGATGTAGACGGCGGTGTCGACAATCTGCATGGAAAGCAGAAACGGGCACGTTTGGATTGATTAAAATGGTAACGTTTGTCCGAAGTGCATACTATCTTTCGCGCTCCTGAATAAGTTCTGTTTTCGCACATATCCTTTCATCTGTTCCGTCTTGTTGTTGATGTTCTCTTATATTTTATAATCATTGTTTCTTTTTCAATGGCAGTTCCTTGTATAATTTCCTGTATGTGAACGGTTTCTTTCACCATGTTCGTTCTCAGTGTTTTTGCTATCCCGCATTTCGCTTTTCTTCGCTATGTTTTGTTTTTGTTATGTTGTGCTGTGATTCCGTTGGAAAATATACCATTGATGATGAGAAAAGGAAAAATTAGCTCAGTAAGACCCCGTAGCTCAGTGGTAGAGCGTGAGATTCCAGAAATTGTAGTCGCATACGATTCCTCAAGGTCATCCGTTCAATCCGGGTCGGGGTCATCTTTTGCGCAATCAATGTATAATTCTGTAATCAATCTCTACCCGGTATTTTTTATTTCTCTGAAATGTATGTCAACTTATTATGTCTTTTCCCCAACTAAGTGGGCACCCAAATTCAATCCAACTCACCGCCGATGGTACTCTTCTCATCAAACAAACTTTGCGGTTGGAACATGAATTCTACACTATGATGGAACAGGCGAGGGCTATGGGCGCGTTAGATGCACCAGGAAGTGACAATGCCCTAGACGAACGAACTCTACTCGCTCTCAAAAATCTCAATCGATTGAGCAGATTCGTATCAAAGTTTTATGGGGTGTTAACAGAAGGTAATGTTAGCGTCGAGGCGTTGAATGTCAGCGAAGGAGCGGTTCCCAAAACATCGACTGGGGATACAAACGCGAAACAGTTCCTGGTCCTCTCGAATCTCGTCGATTCTTTCAAAAAACCCAACGTTCTTGATCTCAAGCTCGGCACCGTCTTGTACGATGAGCTTGATCAAGCCTGTAGCGAAAACAAGAAGGCCAGGATGATTAAGGTAGCTAGAGAAACAACCACTGGTGAGTGCGGGTTACGGTTGACTGCATTTCAAGTGAGTGAATTGTACCAAACTCTGGCTTTCGGTCGTTCTTCTTGTTCAATCTTTGCGGAGATCTTTTCGTCCTTATCCTGTAAGCACATGCTAACATAGTCTCTGTGATCCATCTGCGTCCAGGTTCATCCTCAACCTCCTACAACTTCCGTCGCATATTCAGATACTTCGCTCATGCCGGTGACTACTCCTAGAATATACGGCAAATCTTTGAAGAAAGAACAGCTTCCCGAAGGAATAAGGAGGGTTTTTCCAGTACTTGGAGAACCCATCCCCATTTTGGTTCCCGGCGCTGCATCTCCAAGCGTGGGCTCCTCTTCTCCCTCTGACACGTCCACACCGAGATTCGATGGCTTTTCTACCACTTCCTCACCGTGGAATACCCCAATCTCCACATCCAACACAGCTGACTCTACGACCGTGTCTCGCACGGATCTCGGTCTCCCACCCTCCATTCTACTACCGATCCTACGCGCAATCCATAACTCGCTCACGCATCTTCATTCAATCTTGAAAGATATCGAGATACGGATCATCGGAGGGAGTTTGTTAGTCGTTTGGGAGGGAGATCAAGAGAGAGCGCAGGAGGGTGTTGATTGGATGAGGGAGAGGGAGAGGATGATAAGAGAGAGGGTTAAGAGGGATTTTGGAGATGACGACGATGAGGAGTATTACAGCGATGATGATGATGATGATGATGAAGAAGAAGAAGACACCTCCAGTGAAGATGAAGAAGACGAAGACGAAGCCTTTCAAGATACATCTGCTCCTGGCTCGGAAACATTCAACGCGCCAACCACACACATAGTCAAAAACACCTCAGAATCAAGACCTCAAACTAGTGCTGCTTCTCAATCGCTACCATCCGAACCTCTGCCTGATCGCGAAAAACCAAAACGCAAACCCTCTGCACCATATAAGATTGCTTTGATTGATTTTGCCCATACTCGGTTCGTTCCTGGTCAAGGACCTGACAGCGGAGTGTTGTTAGGGTTGGAGACATTTGCTGGGTTAGTTGAGGAAAGGATAAAGGAGGTCGAGGGGTCTGAGAGGGGAAGAACAGAAGAAGCAGGATAAGGTTGAGGAGTTGAGTCGGAAGAGTGGCTGGATAGGTGTAACTATAAAGGAGCAGAAGCTAGGAGAGAGACAGGAGAGCTTTAGTCTCTGAGCAGTGGACAGAGAGGTATAACAACAGGATTAACACGAAGGCAACGAGTTTACGAGGATGAGTCGGGTGGGTGCAGCGTGACTAGAGAGATATGAATGAATATAAATACATTCTAAAAGGATGGTGAGTACTCCAAGTCCTCTAGGTATAGAGGTTTATGTCGAGGATTGTACACTACTTAAGTATATATATATCCCGCTTTGACATTTACTTATAGAGAAGTGGTTTTACTGCTTGTTTAATTTCCGATCTCGACCGTAGTGATTTATCTACAATCTATGTATCCGCAGTTACTTCCTTTTCTTATCTTCCCTTCATCTCGTATACCTGGTACCGTCTACTATGTACGTACTACCGTCTTTATTGCATGTAAGCAATAGCTGATGATGCTGATGATGCTGATGATTATAAGCTGGTATGCAGAGAATGTTGGAGGTATTAATACTGAAATAATTAGACATTTGGCCCTCAAGACATTTGGCCCTCATGTAAGTACTGCGCAAGATTTCAAAAAGTTTTGCTTTTTTACGTCCAATCATTCCCTCGACTTCGGAGAATGAGGGCAATTGTATCTAGGCGTAAGATGATCAAGATGTGAAGTTTCTCTTCTCCGATATTGGCCATGGACTTGGGTGAACACCACTCGTTGGCCCGTATCAGAATTTCGACACAAATCACGACTGTGTCGCTATGTACAGTTACATACACAATTTTTGAATTTTTCAAGGGACGTAGAAACATAACAAGAGAGGTAAAACTACAAGAATGATAATCAGATGGAGGACGTAGACGATTTAGGGAAGAGAATAGTCAAAGCGGAAAATAAAGTAAAGCGTTCGTATTTTGCTCTACTATCATAAAGAGAGGGGAAGCAAGAGAAAGGGGAGGAATGAAGAATAAAGGACAACTAGAAAGAAAGAAACAAACCATGTCCGTGTATCAAACGTATTTACTTATCGCGGATCATAAACTGTATCAAAAGGCGCATAAGTATCAACTCGAATAAGTCGGACGGAATCGTAAAGACAACAAAAAAACCCACATAAAACCCACAACTGATGGAGAAAACGGCGGCGATGTGGACATGAAGTAGCAAAAAATATATATGCTGAACAGGAGTCGTGGGGATGACCGTGTATAATCAAGGGGATTTCGAGGCGAGGAAAGATTGGCATAGAAGGGATGATGTAGAGACAAACAGAGGGGGTGGGGTCATGTTAAAGGCATTCAGCTGTCACGAAGAAAAGGCGCGGAAGAGCGGCGGGACGGAAATGAGACAAATAGTGTTGGGAGGCAGCGACGAGGACAACCATGGAAACTGGCAAAGGACGAACGATGCGTCATGGGGGGATGGGTGTCGGGTATCGACTTAATACCCATACCCGCCCGTCTGCTTGACTGTACCCGCATTGACAACCTGAGCGACAGAACCTCCGACCACACCACCCTTCCCAGAAGCAGATATGCCCATACTAATTGGGACAGCCTGTGCTCCCGTTGAGGATACAGAGGGGACCGATCCTAAACAACATTGTAAGTTTGGTTATTCAGTCCGTCCGGCAACAAGGTGCCACTAACCTAGGTTTATCAAACCTGCTGCCGTCCCAGCTACAGAAGCTCCTCCCATGCCAACGCCGCTTATACCCGCTCCACCCACCAATGCCGACAGACGAGAAATCTCTTCTCTTGATGAAACAAGAGCGGATGTCAATCGCTCATTTTCTTGTGAAAGATATTCGACTTTGGCTTGCAATTGAGCAAGCCAGGCTTTTTTCCGTTGCCGGCATTTAAGGGCAGCTAAGCGGAAGGTAAGAAAAAAATTCAGCCAAGGTTCGCAGTACCGCAATGAAAAATGACGTCGAAAAAGCGTTTTCACTCACCTTGACGATTTCTCTCTAAAAAGTTTTTCCTCTTCTCTTCCTCCGTCTCTGGCTTTTTGTTTCGTCCTCTTCCTCCTGTCGTCGCTTGCGGCATCTCTTTAATACCATCATCATCATCCTCATCCTCATCTCCATCTTCCATGCCATCAAAGTCCTCGAAATCCGGAGTGGCTTGCTTTCGTCTACCACCCGTAGATTTAGTGCGTTTCGATGTTCTGTTGCTAGCCACACCGAGATTACCGTTGCTAATTTCAGAGTTTTTCCGCTTCGATCCACGTTTCCCGGATGTGCCGTTCGGGTTCCCGTTGACACCATTGCCATTGGCCTGACTAGAGTTTGCTCTTGCCTGTTCCTCCTCCCTTTTGGTGAGCTCCTGGTGTGCTTGACTTAGGAGGAAGAGACCATTGGCAGCTGTTGACGCAGCGTTGTTCGCACTCTCGAGGTATGATGAATTATGGGGGTTGGCGTTTTCATTGTTGATGTGAGTATGTGAATGGTGAAGATGAGAAGGAACTGTGGGGGGGTTGGTGTATTGGTTTGGCGGCTGCTGACCTTGCTGGCCCTGACCTTGAGAGTTGTTCAAAACCCCAGTGATGGCGCTGAGTGTGTTAGGTGTAATGGTACCTCCTGGTCCCACGCTGTTGACACCGTTCATGTTATTCATACCACTGTTATGCATCAATGCAAGGAAAGCAGCGGTACCGGGAGAGGCAGGAAACGATACAGGCCCACCGACAAGTGGTGTTAGGCCCGTACCACTCAAACCATTCAAGGCCGGGGTCAAACCCGTCCTAGGAGTCAGACCGGTGCGTGGAGTGAGACCTGTACGGAAGGAAGAAGGATCGAATTGGAGTCCTGGGGGTGCGAGGCTCGATAGAGGATTGGAAAGGTTTGACGAGGGTGCGTTGGGATCCTGAGGTCCAGTAAGCATTGCAGGACTTAACGGGCCACTTCTGAGACTTGAATTGAACCCAGCTGCGGTCCAAGGATGTCCGAATGAAGATGATTGGTCAGCGGGGGAATTTATAGCTGCGAGAGGAGGAAGCATTGGTCGCGGAGAAAGACTACCGTTGGAGTTTGTAACAGCGGAACCACGGGATGCAGTTCGGCTTTGCGGACGGTGCTCGCGGTCGTCTGCAGCATCGCGATCGACGGAAGAGCCAGATTTAACGGTGAGAATTGATTCATTGGAAGAAGGCCCAAGAGCTTTCTCCCTCTGGCTTTCTTTGTCATCTTTGTCTCTTCTCTCTGACTTGCCTTTTCGCTCCCCTCGAACATTCGAGTGGTTAGCTGACCTTGGAGCAAAACTCTGCTCAAATGGGTTTGGTTCAAGGTCAAAATCGGAGCGATTTTGACGCTG